GAACGCATTTACGATGTCGTGCGTTTATAGTTCAACGGTCACGCTAGTCCCCCTCCAATCGGCACTCCACATGTGACCCAATCTGATCTCTGTGTGGCCTCGCCGGCTAGGTGAACGAGACATCCACCTCACCGGATATGCCATTTTTGAATGTTCCCGACGGCGCTTGGCCTTCGTGCCCGTGATTTGTCATTCTTTAAGTTCATTTAAATATCTCAATGACCGCCTAGAAGTGCGTTCCTGCGTTTGCACTGCTCTCGTGCCGTTCGAACCTTCCGTGCCGCCAGTGAGGCCGGTGACACCGTCCCTATCTGCCGACCCCCTCCCCCCTGCCATCCCCGCCGCCGACTGCGGAGCCGTCCGGCACTTCTCAGAGCGCTGTGCAGTCGGACGGTGATCGGGGCAGGGTGAAGTCACGATCCCGTCGGCCCCAAGACGCCGAGTTCGCTGATCAGCCGCCGGGACTCCGACTTGGCGCTGACCTGCCGCTGACCTTCTGCTGACCTGCCGCTGACCTGCACCTGACCTGCCGCTGAACTGAAGACCGTGTTACTGGCGGCATCATGTCGGAAAAGAAGGACTCTCTCAAGCTCGGTAGGTGATGTCAGCACGCTTTGAAACTATGGTCGTACATATACACGTGAATCTCAGCTTCATCAGGTCCAGGACCCGAATTGGTGGTTCGGGGTCCCGAAGCCTGGCCACTTTTCCAAAACCAGCGGCATAGAATTAAGGTCAAGCAATACCAGCCTTAGTTACCCAGTTGATGGACATTAGCAAATACCTAATACATTCAAGTGAATTGGCAGCTTGAATCCTTCTTGAAACGTAATTAGTATATTTTAGCTCCATGTGATGAAACGGGGCACATACCTGATACCCACCTACGTAAATTGTTTTGTCCCGTATAATGTTACTTCTGATTGCTGAAAAGCCCTCCGGGGTTCGAGACACATACGGCTGGTGTCCTGCACTTTGATCTGTGCACATTGCGCCTTGCGGTGCCTGTAGGGCGATAAGCCGCATGATAACTATAAACATATACAGTAAGCAAAAGTGGCATGTGCTTGATACAAGACACGGGCCGCGTGAACGAGATAATAAACACGCTGTATATGAACCATGCTAACTATCGCCCATGTTTAGGTGGTGCTGTGTAGAAGTACTCGTGCTACTCTCTTGGGTCTCCGATTGGCCAGCGGCGGCGCTTTGGCCTGTCTACTGTCTAATCGTGTGAAAGGCGCGACGGATCGTTGGCAGCGGACCTCCAGTTTTACGGCCTTGGCAGCGAATTACATCTTTATTTGTGTGTATGGCGCAAGGTCAAATGTCATGCACAGGTTACCGAAGGTAAAATTTCGCTAATTTCCAGGTCAAACTTCGCTAATGCTCGAGAAATTGGAGCATAATACCGGAACAATACATTGTGCTACAGCGCCGCGGAAAAGCCGCTCTTTTGCCAGCATGTCCTCAGATTTGACCTAAGGTCAGCGGTTTAGCCCACAGGGAGCAAAAACTGCCAAAATAGACGTTTTTACGAAAACAGTTTTTCTGCAATAGCTTTTCAATCAGAATATGCCACGAGCTTACTCTGCTAGCATCGTATTCCTCTCGTCGAGACGCATCCAATGAACTGTAATATGACTTTGAAAGGTCAACTGAAAAATTTGACCTCAGAACATTGACCTGGCCGGAAAAGAAAATGTCGTGCTGCACATTAGTCGATCCGTATCGTCGAGCTGAAAATATCTAAGTTGTTTTCACCGCTCTAGCATGCCTCTATCAGAAGATTAGCTAAAAAAACATAATTTTATGATAAACTAATAATCTTTTGATTCATCCCCTCTCTTGACCTGAGATGACATCAAGGACATAAGGAGAGGTTACGGGTAACATTTTCCGGTTCAGTGTGTCATGTTAGCTTAGGTGAGGTCACTTCGTTGACATGACCTGTTGACCTGACGTTGAGACTTGAGAGACCTTGGTCTGAATTTTTTACTACATTGTGCAAAAAAAGATGTATGATAAGGTGTGCCAAAAACCGCAAGGGTGTTGTTGAAACAACCCCCGGGCGCGGGCTTAGCGAAATAGGAATCTACAAATAATTTATCTATAAACCACGATTTTACGAAAAACTGGGAAATAGGTAGATAGATAGATAGATAGATAGATAGATAGATAGATGAGCTTTAAATGTTATTATTGCGTTTCGACTAATAGCTTATGCTGTTAATTTAATTGTTAGTTTCTAAATGCTTCTTTAAAATATGCTCATATCATACCTATACCCACTACCTATAGGTAGGCATGCTGTACATTGTTCATGCATGTTCGACAGAGCATGCCCTATGCCTATACTATACGTGTGGGTCTATAGCGATCGCTTGTACCGTACCTATTCTACAAGCATAACAAGTGGCAACTGTATTTAGACACACATTATAAACAAGTGTCTCATGTGTTATTATCCTCTCTTTGTCACAAGTGTATGAGTAAGGTATCGGCTTGTTGGTCCTTCGGTTGAGTGGACCTATAGTACAGGGTGACACAAAAAAAAGGTCATCACCAAATTTCGAATAACTTCGAAAGTTTTATTCAGATCATCACCAAACTTCGGCCACTTAAGGTCACACCTATGTAGCATACATCCACCAAGTTTCAAGTCTTCACTACGAATACTTTTAGTACAGTATGTGTTTTACTGACGCTCCACAATGTGCTCCAGGTGAGCGCCACGGCGCTGCAGGGCGTAGGCACACTTGCATCCGGCGGGTAAAGTTGTCGATAACCCGATGGCTGTGCACTTTACAGAGTGCAATGGCCTCTGGAGACAGTGCTCAGGAAGTGTGCTACCCCTGAAACGTTATTCTTATCGGGTTATCGGCAGCTTTGCCCGCCGGATGCAGGTGTGCCTACGCCCTGCAGCGCCGGGGCGCTCACCTGGAGCACATTGTGGAGCGTCCGTAAAACACACACTGTACTAAAAGTATTCGTAGTGAAGACTTGAAACTTGGTGGATGTATGCTACATAGGTGTGACCTTAAGTGGCCGAAGTTTGGTGATGATCTGAATGAAACTTCCGAAGTTATTCGAATTTTGGTGATGACCGCTTTTTTTGTGTCACCCTGTACCTACAGGGTGTCCCAGAAGTCTTGAAGCTTTTTTATTTTTGTCGTGTGACCTTGCTATGCCACCGATTAAGGCGAACCATGCCTCAAACGAAAGAGAAAGAACTAAAATTTTGTATTTTCATGCGTAGAGCACCACTTTAGTCAGATGGCCCCCGTTGTGAGTCGCACATGATTGAGCACGAGTGATCACGTTCTTCGCTGCCGCCAAGATCTCCCGGTTTGCGAAACACCGGTGTTGCCATGCCCGTTTCTTGTCAACTTCAGAGTCTTATTCCCTGAAGCGAGCGACATAATATTAGCTACATATATTTCCGACGGGTTGATATTTATTTTAGCCCCATAATAATGCGACGAATCAAAGGATTACAACGGGCTGTTGCTTAGCGTGCTCACTGCTCAAGCAGGTGAACCTTATTTCCGTAATGGATGCGTGCAAACATGTCAGGAGACTTTCTGATCAGTATGTTGCTAATGTTTTCTCGGAGATCCAATACTCTGTTTCCTGGCAGCTGGCTCGCTTCATGAAATAAGGCTCTGAAGCTGACCAGAAACGGGCATGGCGACACCGGTGTTTCGCAAACCGGGAGATCTTGGCGGCAGCGAAGAACGTGATCTCTCGTGCTCAATCTTGTGCGACTCACAACGGGGGCGACCTGACTAAAGTGGTGCTCTACGCATGAAAATACAAAATTTCAGTTCATTCTCTTTCGTTTGAGGCGTCATTTGCCTTAATCGGTGGCATAGCAAGGTCACACGACAAAAATAAAAAGCTTCAAGACTTCTGGGACACCCTGTACATATATAGTACATATAAAATAGAATAGACAATAGTTATACTAGGATACTAAGAAGTATGAACAAAACTTTTCCGCCGTGGTCGACCGGAGCCCATATTGAACATATTTATGATTTGGATAATAATTGGTAGATGTCAACGAAATACCTAACGGATGCATCACGTTATCGCTCATTACCTGCCAGTACCTAAATGTAAAAGTATGTACCTACAGAGTGTAATAAATAATAGCCGTTTTCACGACGGGTTATCTGGCGAATGAACCTAATTTGATCAAATTTGCACGAAATATCTTTTACAATAAATATATTTAATATTCGTATCATGAACTTATTTCAGAAAATAATATCTGATACCTGAGCTGAAAAATGAGGTTATGGTATATATAAGCATCTGTGCAATCCAAACTGCTAAATTTGCTTAAAATGCACTGAACCTAATCTGACCAAATCTGACCAAATATGCACCTAATCAGTAATCTGCACCAGATGGCCGTCGGTGAGTACCAGATCAAGATTACCAGATGGCCGTCATGAAAACGGCTAATAAGCACATTATATCTTATACAAATCTTCGCAACATGTTACGAAGCTGTGAGTGGCGGCTTACGGTTGAACACTAGTCAAAATTATGCATCCAAATGGTTTATGTAGTCGCTTTAGTTTCATTTTTCAATTTTTCATCCTCCAAACCATTCCTTTCATCGTGACGCTTAAACATTCACAAACCCCATCCCTCCCAGCGACATATCCCCCACTCTTCAAACCATTCCTGTCATCAAACTCTCGTAACCTTACCATTCACAAACTTCCTCCTTCCCTCCCTTCACAAACATCAATTTACCGGTAAGTTTCACTGTCATTTATGTGTCTTAACGTAAATTCATGGGTTTTTTCCCATATTCATGGCATAGTACATGGATATGGGTTTTCCCATGTTGTCTTGCTGTAAAAGTGGCCACCGGTCTTAGTTAGGACGGCCGGTTTGTTTTGCGCGGCGTAGTTAGGTCGCCGCCCTCCTCGCGAGGCCGGTAACGTAAGTTAGGGCCACTAAAAAAAAAAAAAAAAAAAAAAAAAAAGGCCCCCGATCGGCCCGTCTCAGTCGTTGCTGACAATTTTTTGAGATCAGCCACTCCTAATTAACATTCAATACATGCATAATAGGCAGTGTGAAACAAGAGCCTACTGCTAGTTCAAGTTACCGGTTCAAATCACCTTTATATGACCTCAACTTGAAACTTTTTCAAGGAATTAATCTGAATCGTTTCATTCTACTTTTACTGTAATGAAATTATGTAATACATATTGAACAATGTCCTTCAGTTTTGATCTCTGATTTTTTTTTTGTTATTTGCAGATTCCTTTTCAGAATTATTCTTTTCTTTAAAACTGTAGATTAGGTATACCATAATCCATAGTATACCAGTTGAAGTTATCTTATTATTGATTTTGATGTTGAGGAGAAATCATGTCTAATCAAAACACTAAAAGGAGAAGGTGTGTGCTATGTTGTATGTGTATGATTGCTATTCTTTTCAACAAATGGCTGTCCTCGTACTACCATTTTAATAGCTGATGTTTCACGACGCTCAAGCTTCTTCCTGACTGAATGTTCTCTTTGGATAAGATAAAGCTATTCTAATAACCTTTCATTACTTGGAAGTCCTTAAGTGACGCTGAGGGGGAAAGTTTTGATAAATATGTTCAACTATAGTCTGGCATTTCAAGAAATATAAGAAGTGTGCTTATTTAATTAATTCTTATTGTACCTTTCAAATTGGCACCAAGTGGTTTCTTGTAGCTACTGATTCTGAGGAGGCTAGTTTGTTGATTGAAATGTGTATATTCAAGGTACCGAGCACAGTCATCAAATGATGAAAGACAGCCACTACTGCGAGGTAATTTTTGAGGGCTTGGTCCATTGTCTTATTTGGTCTTCTAATTATTCTTATATGTTACTAGCTGGACATGAATATATTATTAGTGTGCAATGTAGCAATACATAATAAGGCAATAGTTGTTAGAATTTGGCAACTGCTTGTCATTTTAGATGCCCATAATGTTTTGATTTACCTTTACATCAGTTACTGACTCACAAATCTTCTCAATTCATCGATCACCATATTTCCACCCAAATACCAAGATTACCATGTAAGTGCTAGTGCACCCATATCTGCTGCATTCCTGTTGCAGTATGATGTTGCAGTCCTGTTTTGGATATGGATTATTTTTCCCACTACCCACCCTCTTAGCCAGTGTTGCCCAGTGACCACCACTCACAGCTCCACTGCCCCCTCCGACCGACAGATGAGCTGCATGATGGTGAGCAGGGTGGCGCGCCCGCCGCAGCGGCGCCCACCGGTCTGCGCGGCCTGCTGCGCTCCTCCGGCTACAGCCTGTACGTGCTGCTGCTGTTGCTTCTCACCTACCTGCTCAACCAGCTGGATCGCTACATGCTGGCCATTGTTGCGCGGCCATCGGCGCAGGAGATCGAGTTTGGCGACAAGGGCTGCCTGCTCAATGAGACGGTCAAGTCGACTCTGGAGGACGGCAACTGCACGGCCATCACCACGGAGACGACGTGAGTCGCACGGAGAGGAACGGGGGAGGTGTAACTGAGACGACATGAGTCGCACAGAAAGGGGGACTGTGCGTATTGGTCACGGGTCGGCCAGCTGAAACGGCGATTTACATGCATCTACATGCTTCCTGAATGCATCTACAGACTACAATCTACATTCATTTCAGGAGATTATGTATTTACTTTAAGACTGAATTTGTCTTTGGAATGTCTGATCGTAATTTTAACTGGGGTTTAAAGGCACTGTTATGCAAACCGTTTAAAAACAAAAAAACACTTTCATGCACAAGAGTCAAATAGACTGATCTTTGGCTGCAGCCGCGGGTCCTATGTTTCCAAACATTCCATCGATATCGGAGACGGTCTTTCTCACGTTTCTGAATGTGCCATTCCTTTCCCGCAGCTGCACGAGCTTCGTTGACGCCGACGGCCACCACGGCTGCAAGTGGGACTACACGGGCACCGGAACCGAGTACAACCTGCTGGCCGGGCCCGTGTTCATCCTGATCTACACGTTCGCCGGCATCCCCATGGGCCTGGCCGCCGATCTCTACAACAGAAAGGTACGCGAAAGCGCAGGGCCTGCCGGGAGCAGAGGGCGATCTGTGCGCAATGGTGGAGGCGCTAGGCTACTGCTGCATTACAAGTGGTACAGAAATAACGTTAAGCGATTGTTTCCTTCGAAATCTTAGTCATTTATTAGGTTGTTCGCTTCTTAGTTCGCTTATGGGTTACTTTATTCATTAATTTATCCATTGCTTCGTCCACCCATTCATTCTTTTGCATATTTATTTATTCATTTATTTATTAATTCATTCTAGTATTCATTCACTCAGTCAATCAGTCACATATTCATTTATCGTTCATTCGTTTATCCATTCGCTCGTTCACTCACCACTCACTAACTCACTGTTCCCGTCCCCGTTTGTTTCCCGCAGCTGCTGCTGGCCGGAGCGCTCATCCTCTGGTCCACCTGTACGTTCCTGACTGGCTTCGCCGAGGAGTACTGGGAACTGGCTGTGCTTCGATTCGGCATCGGATTCGGGTGAGTGCACAGGCACGACGCATGTCAACGGCCACGCACTGCCATATTCTCCGTTGAGGCGCAGTTTGATGACCAAGTGATGATTTCTTTTCACTATTATGATTTTTTTTTACTGCTTTGAAACTGTAAAAAAGTTTTTAGTAATGTCGATATGGTTTGGTGTTATTCTGTATTACGGAGTCTCTATCCGATTATATGTTTGAAAGTACATTGTGCAATATGTGATGTGATGCACACCGCCGTCTCGTGCCAGATGCACGTGGAACCCCGTGCGGCTCAGTGCAGCCACCCCGGCCTTGTCTCGTTGAGTGGCGGCTGCTGTGCGTCGTACCCTGATGGCGCCACAGCGTCTGATAGTGGCTCTGGCGCGTGTTCGGACGGGACGCTCGGGGGCGGGGGCGCAGAGGTCAGTGGTGTCCTGGGGCACGCGCTTTCCGCCGGTAACTATAGCCAGGACCATGACTAGCTGAACAGGCCGTTGGTCTGGAGCACGCTGACTGGCCATTATTTGACTGTCTCCTGGGTCGCCATAATCCGGGAAACACGCTGCCGTGTAGTGGGTAGCTATCGCATGTGCTCGGCCGAGGAGAGCCCTTGACGGCGAGGGCGGGTGTCGGAGCGTCACAGAGGTGTACCACGCTCTCAGATACGGGCAAGGCCGGCCGATCGACAGCTGGGTCAAGTGCCTCCCTCTCGATAGGCCTCTGTGTACCGTGACGGGTCAATTTGAACTCGGTAATTTCAGGGGACGTAGACATTGTACTAGTCTGAGCTAGTGGAATTATACAGTATGTACTTAGTGCAGTTATGCAATGGTTAGGTATGCACTTCAATGCGCCGCCATAAAACTGTCAACATAAAATGGCAAAGCCCATATATATTGTTGCTGGTTGATCATTTGTATTAGTGTATTCTTATTTGACCTGCATTTGGCTGCTATTTTAAGGATTGCTTGTTATGTAACCTGTCGGCTTCAGTAGTTACGTAACGAGTCTCAGCTTCAGACAGGCAAATAATTTATCGTCCCTGCTCTCTGCTGATCTTCACGATATCTAACGAATGACTGTAGAAACTGGAAATCGAAGTGTTAATGACATCGACCAAAAATCTTATCGACCTAGACGTCGGTTTTTCTTTCCGCACTGATAATTCTTCGAATAAATTTAAGAGGTGATCAGTTTGACCGGTTCAGTCTCCTTCGGTTCATCGGTCTTTCGTTCCAGCCACTCCATTCCTACTTTATGACATATTTTACGTTCAAACCATTGTGAAATGAACGGTATCTTTAAAACACTTGAGATGTATTTGACTACTTACTTCGCTCAACGTCGATGTAGATTCAGTGGAAGGTCTTTATATTGTTCGCGTCGTGTTATCGACCCAGTGTCATTTAGTCAGAGTTTCTAGCTCAGCCAGTTTGTGACTTCGCTGCACCTCCTTGAATGACACCATCAGTATTATTTCTTCATGTAATAAGTGGCCTGTAATCTACATAGTAGTCCTGTAGCTGTAACAATCCACCGGAGAGGCGACCCTGTTCCTCCTCTGTTCGCGATATCTGTGCGCCAGCCATGACCCCGTCCGTGTCTTCCCGTCCCCAGAGAGGCCGGCTGCACGCCGTTCGCCACCTCGCTGCTGGCCGACTACTTTATCCCCGAGCTGCGAGGCACTGCGCTGGGCGTCTACAACTGGGGCATCTACTTCGGCTACTCCATGGCCTATGCCATCGGCAACTTCATCACGGATGCCAACATCATGGACATGGTTAGTCGGCTGTTCAATTATATGGCGAGCGATGACATGGCTAATTAGCTTCTCAACATCATGAATATGGATATGGTCAGTCAGTTGGATGGCATGAAGCATATGGAAAGAAAGCTATGCCATTTGCTGCTAGTATATTTGAATCACCCGACAATCGACATGCGATGGACTTTGAATCAACAAATACTAGCTGCTTGTAGGGCATTTCGTAGGTTTTATGTTATCCTTGAATACGATAATATTGGGTGGGTAATTTTAAATTTATTTCATTTCCTTGTATTTTGATCACGGGTGTTGTCGCAGGTACATTCAACAGAATTGTTTTGGTGTAAAAAAGGGATCACAGTATTGAGTTGCAGTTTTAACAACGCCAAGAAGTGCCAAAAGTGGTCCAAGGTCTACAACGATCAGACAGCTGACCTCTGTTAGCATTTGCGCCACCCCACACCGGTCTCCGTGTTTCTCATTCCGTGTCTTAACTCCCCTTCTGTGTGGACAGGGCTGGCGGTGGTCCTACTTCATCTCCGGCGGGCCCGGTATCCTGCTCGGCATCCTGATGATCTTCACAATGAAGGAGCCGCAGCGGGCCGGTGTGACTGACGAGAGCCGCGCCGCGGCGCGCCAGAAGACCTTCGTTCAGCGTCTGCCAGAGATGATGCGGCTCTTCTTCCGACCGTCGCTGTTCCTGCTCTGCTTTGCTGGCGCCATCAGGAACGCCGGTGGGTGGCGAGAGAGGAGCGGCTCTGTTGGGGAGAGGGAGGGATCTGGTTGTGACTCGCAGTTGCTTGACGATTGCGAACGCTACATGGTTTATTGGATCTTTTTTAATATTTGATGGGACTTCAAAGTTTCAACAACGTATCCCAAAATATCTAAATTATTGGGGAATGATTTATTTTCCGTAGGCTGTTATGTCATTGAAATATTCAATTTATCCGCAGCGCTGTTTTCACTCCGTAACTTCCGTTGATACTGACTTTACTCCTTCCCTCCAACGTGCAGCCGGGTACGTGTGGTCGTACAGCACGCAGACGTTCTTCGAGGGCATTGGGCAGACGTCCACCCAGATCGGCGCCTACATGTCCTGGATCCCGCTGGTCGCCGGCTCCATCGGTCAGTGGCGCAGGATTCAGGGCTGCAGTGGCGGCCTAGGAGACACTGCAACGTTTCTATAGGGCTTACTTCAACTGTTAAATGAGAGTCGCTGCCGTCCAAAGGCAAAAACGCATATGTCGGTTCATGACCTGACCCGACATATGCGGTTTTGCCTTTGGACGGCAGGTCTGTCTTTTTTTTCTGTAAACAGCAATTTCCCCTCGTCGTTTTGTTATTAATTTATAATTTCCACGGAGCGCAGTGCACAATAGTGTTCATGGAATCGTATGTGTGTTGTCATTTGATTTCGATATCTTCATTGCTATGGTAGGATCTCGGCAACACTGGTAGATTCCTGTCTTGGTAATATGTCTCATTAGTTATTTCACGTAATATTTGCGCCCCACCAACTCCCCAGCTGCTCCCATCTAACATGCTCCTCCTATCCCCGTTGCCCCGGCCTGATCTGACGTGTGACCTCTCGTACAGGTGTGGTGTTTGGCGGTTTCATCTCTGACCGGGTGGTGAGCCGGGTCGGCCCCCACGGCCGCGTCTGGGTTATCATCATCAGCCAACTGCTGGCGGCACCGTTCGTCTTCTGCGTGCTGTTCGTCGAGCCGCCCTGGGCCTACATCAGCCTCATCCCCGTCTACATTATCGGTGAGTCAAGACCACATGAGTCTCATCCACGTCTGCATCGGTGAGTCGAGCCTACATCATCCCCATCCCCGTCTACATTATCGGCGAGTCGAGCCGCCCTGGGCCTACATCAGCCTCATCCCCGTCTACATTATCGGTGAGTCAAGACCACATGAGTCTCATCCACGTCTGCATCGGTGAGTCGAGCCTACATCATCCCCATCCCCGTCTACATTATCGGCGAGTCGAGCCGCCCTGGGCCTACATCAGCCTCATCCCCGTCTGCATTATTGGTGAGTCAAGACCACATGAGTCTCACCCATGCCTACATCGGTGAGTAGTGCCTACATCATCCTGATCCTCATCTACATTATTGGTGAGTCACCCCGGTAGAGCCTTGTCATGTCGTCTCGGGCAAGCTTCTTCATGAGTGTTCGGGTTTTACTTGCTTGGGTGTCGGGGTTATAGGTGTGGAGCTGTTTCCTTGAAGATCATGGAAAATTCGTTGTTGTGCAGCCAGACGGTCTAATTTTCCCCGTTGGCGTTAATCACAAACATATGCTTCTTTCTGCAACCCTAACCGAATTTTTCATGAGTTTATCATGAGCCCTTTTTGTCATGCTCCTGACTAGGCTGACGACAGGCATTGATGACGTCCCCGGTCCACGCATCTGTTCTGTTTGTCCCGTGTCTTTGTTCCTCTACTGATTCCCACCCGCCCTCTCCTTAGGTGAGATGTGGATTCCGATCACGCTGGCCGTTCTCGTGGAGCTGGTGCCGGCCGAGATCCGCACGGCCGCCGTCGCCTTCTATTTCTTCGTCATCTCGAACGTCGGCGGCAACATGCCGCTGCTGGTCGACCCCGTCAAGCAGGCCTTCAAGAACGCCGGCAACTCTGAGATCGACGCGCTCCGAGGTAGGTTGGCCGGCGGAGCGGCCCTGACGGCCGCGGGGGCGTGCGGAGAGGGGGAGAGGATGGTGTGGTCAGAACTCCCGGTGTGGGACGCAGTGACAGGTTAAGTGAACATTGAGGACTATGGGAGGGAGGGGAGGGGGAGGCGAGAGGATCAGAGAAAACTGTTGAGTCTAGACGAGGCTTTGTGGAGGTTAGTAATGCTCAAATTTATGAGTTATGGCCACACTCCTATTTCTACGAAGATAATAACCTCCCGTTGTGCTGCCAGTAGGCACGAGCATCAATGAGCTACCCAGCAGTCTTTCTGATCGCGCTGTTTTCTACGCCATATTCTGAGTAACCCTCTCTCCTCCTGTAGACACGCTGTACCTGTTCTACCCTGGCGAGTACATCCTGGGCGCGCTGCTCTATCTGCTGGCACTGATCTCGCTGCGCCGTGACCTGCGGATCGCTCAGGAGGAGTCCGCTCGCGCCGGATCCATCCAGAAGGATGGCGAGTCCAACGAGGGATACGAACCGACCGCAGAGGAGACGTGAGCGACTGAAGGGACCGCAGAGAGCGCTCACTGATATGGGGGCGAGGGGGACGGCGGGAGATGTGATGTACGTCAATGTATCAGCTTACATGTGAATTAGGCGATTGTTAGGGATGCGGCGCCCCGTTCTGTACCTGTGGTGAAGATAGAAGGCTCGTTGGTCAGATTGAACCAAAGGTCTCAAACGCTAGGCATGAAGCCTAGCCCGTGGAATGCAACTGAACTAAAACAGTACACCGACAGACCATGTCCGGCTTATCGGTTCTTTGTTTTACTTTGTAACCTGCTCCCGTTCGATGTTTGCTTGAAAGCTCTTGTTACTCCCGTTTACGTTAGCAAGTCGGTTAGCTATATGTTGGCTGTACTGACCTCGTATTGACTGGTTGGCAGTCCCATACTCATGGCTTCAGTTTTACATTGGACTTTTCTGTGACGCGCGTTTTGCGCCAGCAGTGTTCATGTGTGTTCGTTGCTTTACGCGGCAATGTCGAACGCAGTGCAATGGGTATTGCGATGTACGCTGTGTTCGGCTGGTGAGCTGTGCTGTATGCTTTACATGCGAGAGTGTGCAATGCTTGCAACTGTGTTCACTGTGCATCACAAACACCTGCTCATGCATGGCCAGCCGCTCTGGATGTGCAATGCTAGCCGCATTCGAATCAGGTGGGCGGTGATAACCCGACACACATATATTTACAGTATTGTTATATCATTGTTGCGCGTTACCATATTATATATCCTCTATATTGTGATTATAGAATACATGTATGGAATTTACTTGTGTTTAAACTTCAAATTATGGCTTGTGTCAACGTTAGACCACCGCAATGTGACGAGTACCTAATCGAGCGATGAACAGGACATCTGTTGATCATGCATCTATTCAGTTCGAGCCGAAATGACAAACGTTTTTAACAATGTTTCATTACAAAACGACACAGTATGATGGTAAAAATACCAGTATGTCACAGTGGAATGAGCGGCTTCCCGTTCAACGTCAGCAGGGCCCATCATTTCTCCGAAGTGCTGGCCGGGATACTAGAGCAGCAGATATTATGATGCGAGTCACTCACGACATCCACGTGCTGCCCCAGCTGAGGCACGAGGCAACACGTGCCAACCTTCCGGCACATGGCTGATGTCCACATTCGATGATGACGGTACGGTCCGACAACACGTGATTCCATGTCCGGCGATGAAGTGGTATGAGCTATGAAAACACGTGACAAACTCGAGATCCGCAATCGAGTGGCAGTGAGCGAGATACGACCCTCGACCTGCGACAATCCACTCGAGACGCGCGAAGAGACGCCGAATTATCACGCGAGCGGACACTCGAGGTCGCCGCGCACCGGATGACGCGCCACACAGCGCGTGATGCGCTCACGCACCGTTCGCAAAAGCGCCAACTCACTCAGATTGCCCAGGTTCGGCGGAGCGCGTGACTGGGGCCCTTGTCTCGTCACCAATGCATGCTCGTCCACCACACACCACACATCAGAGCAGTCATTTCGAACAGACGGACGTCACACATCAAACGTGTCCAAGCAGATATTGAAGCCGTGCTCCTCCCACTGGGCTCGGGTCACCAGCCGGCTACTGAACCGGGATTCTCCGGCCAGTTTGGCGCCAGCGCGCCACGCGCACGTCACCGGGTCCTCGGGCTGGGTGACCTTCACTGGCAGCTCGTCGGGCGCCAGGGCGCGCACCTCTGCGTACACGCGGTCCCTGAAGCCGGGGAAGCGGCTGCTGCCGCCCACCAGTCGGATGTTGCGGTACAGGTGCGGCCACGTTTCGGGCGGGCACGCCGACACCGCCTCGACGATCGCCTCTGGGATGCCCATCTGTTGGATGCCGACGTCCGAGGGGTGGAAGAGCAGCTCCGGAACGGAGAACCGTTCGTTGGTGAGCCGGATCAATTGCTCGCCCTCGGCGGCCGGCGCGGCGGCCGAGTCGCGCGGCTTCATGTAGCCGCGCCGCAGGCTGGTGAAGTCAGGTAGCACGTAGTGGCGCAGGATGGGGTTGTCGGCCGGCGGTAGGGCGGCCTGCTTCATGTCGCGCCGCCAGTCCTGGCTGACGAAGCAGCAGTCCTCCTTGAGCTGGTTCATGACGTACGTCTCGTCCATGACGTGCAGCTGCCGGTAGGAGATGATCTCCTTCAGGTGGTTGGTCAGCACCTTGCCGCCGACGTCGATCCTGCGGATAGCCTCCCGGCGCTTCTTGCCCTGGATATAGGGCACCACGTGGGTGAAGCTGTAGCCGGCGTCCACTAGCAGGCAGCAGAGGTTATCGGGCCGCGCCGGCTCGGCGGCCACGCACAGGTCGCCGGCGTTGGCGCGCAGCAGGCCCGCCACGTCGTACTCCTCGAACATCATCTCACTCATAGCCTCCTGCACCGAGCGGAAGTTGAAGAACGGCTCCGTCACCACCACGTTCAGTCGGCTCAGGTTCAGACCCAGGCAGTCCTTGCCAAAGACGTGGTCCCACACAGTCTTCTGCACGTCCCAGTTGACCAGGTAGCCCTTCTGGAAGCCTAGGATGTAGAAGAGGCCGCTGGCGTCGCGACACTCGTCGATCTGGTTGCCGATGAACGGCCGACGCCGCTCGCTCTTTGCCTTCATGATGGCATTGGGCATGACGAGAGGGTCCTTGTGCGAGGCCAGTCCAGCCTTGAGAAGGGAGGCACCATTGTCCAACACAAGGGTCCCGGATGCAGTCATGGTGAATAGTGTTCACTTCTTGATTACAGCCAGCTGGTCATGTCACATTCATCTGCTTCAAAGATTTATATGCTAAAATGAAAGAACACTGTGTCAGAAAAAAAACTTATTCATCTAGGTATCAGACTTTTACAGTGAAGATACTGTGCAAAGGAACTTCTTAAACCCACCATGTTATTCTAATTGGAACATTTAAGAGGTATGTACAATGTACATTGTACAATACAGCCTAAAGTTGTCTCCATTTTTCTAATAGGTAACAACTTTGAGAAAAATCCCCTCAATATCATAAGGCAATTCATGGTTTATATTTCACCAAAAACATGAACTTCATCGCCCTGGTAGCTAAAAATCTAATTATCATGACATTCATGAAGCATATACTTATCAAAGCTCAAACGTCTTCACAAATGACCAAATTAGGCCAGCTCAGATGCCAGGTAAGTGGGTAGTGTCTGTTGCAAAGGCCCAGATTGAACAACAGATTCCAGCTAGTTGGCGAAAATGGTTACACCTGCCTTTGCTGCCTTTAGCCCACCCTGAACATTGCAGGAACTAGCAAAATAAAAATGTCCAAGAAAGAAACAGACCATTACAGGCAGGAAAAGTAGCTAGTTGGCGAAAATGGTTACACCTGCCTTTGCTGCCTTTAGCCCACCCTGAACATTGCAGGAACTAGCAACATACAAATGTCCAAGGAAGAAACAGACCATTACAGGCAGGAAAAGTGAGAACAATAAACTGCTTATAGTATTGTTTGCACTATATCGTAAGACACTAGCACCTGCATTACCAACAAGCTCAGTGCAGACACAAAAAAAAATGGTACCTACCTACTTACCTAGCCTAGGAACCACCACAAACAATTACCTATATTTTCATTGTGTTAGGTTTCATACAGTTAGGTTACATTAGTTGTCTTTCAATTAAGGTAAGGATGAAAATTTCCAGAAAATAATAACCTAAAATGCCATTTTGTGATGGCGGCAGCCAGCAATTCATGGTTCACAATACCTACGTGATGGTAACCATAGGTCAAGGTGCCTTTTTGTGGCGGCTTTTTGGCAGTACTAAAGACATTGCCACTTATCATACTTTTTGGAGGCAAGTGAATGTTTTGATAATTTTTCAGGTTGATTTATTGCCCCTGACCACACGGCTTACTTTGAATTTGAATAAATGCGTCCAGAGTGCCACCTATAGATAACAGAACATTTCAATTTCACCAAAGAAAATCAGCAGCGTACTGATAACTGATGCAGAGCAATGCACCCAGGAAATGCTCAGGTTCAGGAATGTTATTTTGCTTAGGTGCCTAGGCAACAAAATGATTCAGACATTCTATACTTACAGATATATTAAAAAACAGCATTATCATTTATCATACGCATATACCGTGATCATACGTACGCCATGGATAGCCGGCTTAGAAAAATAGCTGTTCTGTTAGCACCAGCAGCAGATAGATACTTTCAAGTAGTACACATTTTTTAGCAAAAAACGAAGATTAAATAAAGATCAAGGTGTAAGCTTACAATGTCAAATAAATTTCACATTTTAAATAACCTTAATTGGATGAAAAATTGCAGAAGCACCATGCAATGCATTGACGAAGTTTCTGCAAACGGTAAATTATCAGCCATGTGTTTGATGTGGAACACAGGTTTGTCTCTAATGCGCCATTATTTCCAATTACGATTAAAATCTTTTTTTGGTAAAATGATGACGTAATAAGTTTTCGGGAACTTTATCATTTTTCCTTGAAAAAATGTGTTTTTTGTGCAAATTAGAAGCACGAACAAAATAAAAATGTAATTTTTTTTAGAGGCTTGCAATTCTCACAAAAATAGTCCCACAAATAAGAAAATATCACCTGCTAGATTTTATTTTAGGCGGAATAGTGACGTAAATTAGATCCAAAATGTTGTGCTATACATACAGACTTCTTACGTGTTTTCACAATCAACAAAACATACAACCCCGAGTCCGACACACATAACAGCATAAACGTACAGCATAATTGTAATCAAGGCCATATAGATTGTAATTGAGCGCTTGAAGGGTTGAAGGTGGAGATCTTTACGATTCTTATAGATATCCATGAAATGGATTAAGCGTTTTTATCAGCTTTTATATACTTTGGCTATACTTAAGCTTATATGCCTTGACTATGCCCAAAGCATATAGAGCTATATATGCAAAAACGCGACGCAGGAGTGGTGAGAATTGGAAAACGATGATCCTCACTTTATTTCATTAATTTGAATTGAAATTTGCATAGCAGTCAACTTAGCTAGGAGCAACGTCTATCTTAAGGTGGCATCTCATACTGTAAAGTCTAGAACTGGTATGCGCTTTATTAGTAGGTCCGTAAAAGGCACCCAGACTGCAAAAAATATATGCTACCGTCAACGTGTCTGGAGTAACAGGCGGAGTTGCTGAAATTTTGGTGCAGTGTCTGGCGTAACTCTGTTGTCTGTGCACCAAAATTTTGGCGAATGGGCCATGGATGCACAAATAATTTTTGGTGTACGGATGGACAAATAAATTTTTGGTGTAGGTATTAGGTAAATGGGCAAAATAAATTTTTGAAGCAAGATGACAAGACCTCATAATCAATAGCTAACATCACTTGCTACACTCTACATTTGAGTCACAAGCTTGATCAATGGGTACATAGTGATCATCCAAATTCTGAGGCCCAGGGGTAACAATTTCTGCTGGGTTGCACGCGCCTGAGCTGAAGTCCCAAATCTATGCCGGCCTGGCTTTGCAGTCACAACAGACAGCATGGGCCAATGTCTTGCAGCAGATTTCTAGAGCTTGGGCACCCACAACTCAGCAGAAATTGACACCCATGCCAAGCCCCCTAAGGCCTAAGCTGACACGTGTGATGCCTGGTCACTGGTGGCCCTCATATAATTGAGTCTGAGGTGGGGACTGGGCTGGGTGATCTTTGGAATCCTAACTTGAACTGCTGAAGTTTTATCTGGAGTGGACCATCCCAAGTCACCTCTAGACTCACCACTGGGAATCTGTTGATGCTCCTTCAATTAT